ATAATGTACTCATTCTAAACTCTTGTTACTTTTGCAATTTTCTTGCCTTAATACATGGACCGGATTGCTTCGGTTTTTATCAAAACCAAACCAAACCAACTATATCGGTTTGGATTGGTTCGGTTTTGTCGGGTTTTTCGAGTTTTTTTGTTACTTAAATATTATTTCAATCTTACTTTATTAAATATTTGATAAGTAAATATATATTTAGTAAAAATATAAAAATGACAGACATATTATCGATTAAAATATTCTTATAGGAGAATTCTATTAGTAACACATAATAGTTATTTTTTTAGTCGTCTAACAATAATTTTTCGTTGATGTACACTTTTAGGTTAACCGAATTTAGTAATTAAACATAAAAATCAATATGATACATAAATATTAATAATCACTTCACATTCTAAAAAGATATAAGAATTTAATAGATCTTAACATATGATATGAATATGGAAGAACAAGGAGATAGACGCATTTCAGTAACAATTGATAAGAAAGTGATCATACAACCCATTATTTAAGGTCAATAAATATGGAGCACTTCATATTCTATTAAAATTTATATCCCGCAAGAAAATCCCAAATATTTCTAGACATTTTTTAAAGAAAATTCTATATATAATCTTAAAAGTATATATAAAAAATATATATTTATATGTCGAATTGGTTCAGGTTTTTTTACTCAATACCAAATCAAATCAAACTAAACCAAATCGAATTTTTTAATTGATTTGATTTGACTTTTTAATTTGGTGCAATTTTTCGATTCGATTTGTACACCATTACTCACTGGTCTATGTAGCATATGCATTTTGGCATAAGTTCCCCATTTCGTTAACAAGGAATATGACGTGTATCACACAAAAAGGGAATCCTCAACTTTTTCTCTAAAAGAAAAAACGTTGTGGCTAACAAGACACATCAAAACGTCATTATTTATAACAAGACTAACTGATTAAACATCACCCATTATGTACGCTGATCGCGGAGCAGAAAATTATAACGAGCAATTAACATTAAAGGATTGGCTTTGCTAGGAATAATATAGTAGTTTTGCAGTTTCCCCTAGCATAACAAGATAGGATTAATACGAATATTAGTGGAGCAGTTGGCGTATGTGGGCTTGATAATCCGCTTTGTGTACGTAGTGGGGATTGATATGATATATCGAAGAAAAACTACATTATTTTGCAGATTAAAAGTAGTGAAGTAGCAAGTCTAGCCTCAGAAATCACAATCACGAAGACAAGGATGCTTTTAGAACATCTATCCTTATCCCAAAAGGAAGAAAAGAAAAAAAGCAAACTAAGGCGTCATCACCAACTTTCTTTTACTCATGCATGCATCCAAATGAACAGTCATATTCATAAGTCATAGCCTAATGAGTTTAAGTTATATCCTCCGTCACTATAAAAAAAAGAGATTATAATAGATTATTACTCTATTTTTCACATAGCCAAATCAAGTTTAACGTAAAGAGTTATACTTGATATTATAGGGTAATTAGTACAATGATTCTTTATATTGTAGTTGTAAACTATGTACGTGGAATCTCCAAAAAAATATTATCGCATCTGTGTTGGATCCTCCAAAAATACACTATTTTTGGAGGACCCCGACAATATTTTTGCAGAACCCGAGCAACATAAGCCGTAAGTGCAAAAAAATATAAAAATCATAGTACTCCCTCTGTCTCATTTTATATAGTAAATTTCATGGGTGGTCATTCAGCTTTGTGTTCATTACCCAAAAGTCACTTTTCTTTTTTTTTGTTACGTAAAAGTTATTCAACTTTGTGTTTGTTACATAAAAGTCACTTTTCTTTCTTTGTTGCGCAAAAATTATTGTACTTTGTTCTAATTATCATAAAAGTGATTATAAATTATCTCATTAAAAATAAGATAAAAAATTTAAAGTTAAATTATTTTCAAATATAAAAATATAACCATTATTTTTTGTAATAAACTAAAAAGGAAAATGTTTCACCCATTGAATGAATATATAGAAGTCTTGAATGGGAAATGAGAGTACATAGGTGATTCTTTTTTCTTTTTCACCAATTGATGAAGTACATTCATTTTGTTGTTCTGTCCTCTCACTCTTTTGTGGATATATAATTCTAGCCAGTGAGAGTTTTTTGTAGAAAGCAAATTAAGCTTTTGAATAACTGCTTAATTCTCGTATGTCCTTAATTATTCTTGACTTTTGGTGGTTTTGCATGAGTTTGTGAATTGTGATGCACCGCGTGCCTGTCACCCAAATCATTTTGTCTTCCATTCAACTTTGTCTCCGTACCCAGTTAGTTAGCACGGAAAGAACGAGTAAAGCGGCTCTTTGCTTTTAGTGCAATAATACTACCTACATAGGTCGGGTTGGTTCGAATTTTTCAATTATCAAATCAAATTAATGGTGTCAAATTTTTATATTTATAAACCAAACCAACAAAGTCGGATTTTTCAATCTCGGATTTTTGGGTTGTTTTCCGGTAAAGTCGTCATAGCATAAAATATGTAATTTATGCTTCAAATATCTCTTAAGTGTTAGTAAAATACAACTATATAATGTGTTTTCCAAGAAACTAACACAATAAGTCGTAGCATTATACTAAAATATTCAATAACAAAGATAAAATAATAAAATTACATAAAACAAATATTGCTAATTAATAAGTCATAATGAAAATTAACATAATCTAAAAATATTATATATGTCATGCTAAAATAAGTATAGCTAATAAGTACTAATATTAATTATGTAACTAAGCACTAAAGAAAAAGATAAACTAAGTTATGCATTTCATTATAAACCAATATAAAACTAAAATAATTATCCAATATTATCGTCATTCCTAGTATCGCAAAAGGTTTAAGAAATATTTATAAATTACATTACAATAAATATTTATATGTATAAAATATTTTTAAAAATTATATAAATGTACTATCGGGTTGGTTTGGTTTCGGATTGACTTTTTTTAGTTAAAACCAAATTATACCAATTATGGTCGGGTTTTATTTTTTAATACCAAACCACATCGATTTTTTTTTTGATTTGACTCAGATTATCGATTTGTTACGATTTATCGATTTTGTTTGTAGGTCCCTAAATAGTACTATATCTAGCTAAGCAAATTGATATCTTCAAAAAAAAAAACTATTTTGACGTATTAGATCGAAAAGCTAGCTACGTTATGCTATGGTGGAGTGGCCGAAAGTTCTTATTCCTTTTTCCTTCCCTAGTAAAAGGAAAATTTTACTATTCTATGGGTAGCAGACTGTCGGCAGCAATTGCAACTGTAGCACTACTATTTACTTTAAAATGCATCATTTGACTAGGGCATCAACCAACAGTGAATGGTGCTTTTGTAACTAATCATTTATTCTGAAGTATAAACGATTTCTGTCTATCGTAATGGCAGAGAAGTAATTAGCATCAATGCAAAGCAAATTTGCATGTTTTTGTTGATGCTAATAATATCTAAATGGAGATCTTTTGCGTTGGCTTTTTGCATAGTGGTGATGAATTTTGTGAATCGTCTTATCTAAGAATTTTGATTATTAGAGACAAGATAATTTAATATATAGAATGGGTCTGCGGAAATTGCATTGTAAAACCTATTAGTGATGCCAAGGATGGTGGAGGCCACTCTAGGATTCACGCTTCTTAGGTTTGGACGGTTAGGTGCATTGCATTGGCATGGCGATATTGGTAAAACGTTCAATAAGATGATCACTTTTTTTTATTTATCGAAATGTTAAATTATATAAGGACAAAAAAATGTTAAAATTATTATACGGATGTAACCTCACAAGTCGGGCCTGAAGAGAATAGTATGTACTCAACAGGTAAAGAGTACCAAATTATTATAAGGATCAAATTGTTAAATTATTACTTCAATATTTTTTTCCCACTATCAGTAATAAAATATATGCACCAATTAAACATCCTAAACTTCATATTCAGCTCAAATATCATTATATAATTAAAAGCAGAAAACACAGGGAGAGTCGTAGCTCATTATAGTAGTACATGAGTAAAATCTTGACTGTGGGAAGAACTTCCGCTTTTGATTCCTAATCTTGATCATATGTTATTAGGGCTCACTACTTTGAATACAAGAATATCATACTCTATTTTTCACATGTTGAGTTTTGGTCCTACCACATATAATATTTATCCTTTTAGCAATGTTGAAAATATTTCCTGGCTTACGCAGACTTTGTGTTTAATACTATTACCTTTCACTGCCTCCATCTCTCTCCCCGTGTAAGCCACTATCATCCTAGGGGCGTGGGTGAAAAGCTCCCAATTAATTTGAGTTTTGCACACATTAAGGATGGGGTGAGGGTAAAGGGGTGAGGGAAACCAATAACCTTCTGAAATTTCACTTGATTTTGTTGGATAACACCAAAGACTGAACTGATTTGTTTTGGATAAGACATCACTGTCTCTCTATTCTCTCTCCCTAATGCCTATACCATTCCCCAGCCTACTGCTGAGATGAACACCTCATCGCCAACAACAAAAAACATAGTGTAATTTCACAACTCATGAGATCTGGGAGGGGAATGTGTAAGTAGACCTTACTCCGCCATCAATCAAATAAGAACACATAGTACCTTGACTAAAGTGCAAAAAAAAAAAAAAAAAGGGAAGCGCAGGCAGCTAACATTGGCAGTTGACTGTACCTTTTGCACTTTTGAGTACTCGAAATAACTCGCTTATCAATATTCTCAACCTAAAGGGTGGCACGCAAATCTTAATGCAACTAATACACGACTTTAAACCATAAAACAATGACCTGCCCCATGGATCTTAATGCAATTAATAAATCACTGATCTATGACCTGCCCATATAGGCGCAGGAGTCACTGGGCACCAGACAAGACACTTTCCCCCATGGAGCAATTAGAAAACAGGTCGCACATATTACAGTACAGATGGAATAAATCAGGAATAACATCTGCAGGATTCTTAATCATTTGAACAAATAAAAGTGTCCACAAAATTTAAACCACAAGTTTCTTTATTAATCACTTTTTAAGATGTGCATAGTTCAAAATTTTCCATGCGACAACCAAGTTGATTGAAGATTGCAAGTCACCAGCACAGGCAGGATAAATGGTAATGCCTTGTTTAACAACGAAAAAACAAGATAAAATCGTAATGGTTCAACAAATTATATCCTTGTTACTTGAGTTTCTCAAATAGCTTCGGGGCAACCTGGGTGAACAGTTCATGAAAAGATTAGAAAACAACAAACAAACAAAAACGACCACAAAACTTAAAAAATGCTTAAAACAGAGGGGAGAGAAGAAACAAGAGGCAGCACATCCCCACCCCCACCCCCCAACCCCAACAAAACCCCCCCAATAAAAAACTAGTCAAAGAAAATGCTAAACAGACCGACAATGGAGAATATAGAAATAGAGCTTACGCATTTGTCAATGCATTGCCAATAATCAAAATACTGTCCAGTGCAATGCTTGTGCCCTGATTCATCACCTTCTACCCTTCTACTACATGCCTGTAGGATGCAGATTCCCAATTAGAGCCAAGAAGAAGAAAACAACTATAAATTTTGAAGGCATTTGCAAAAAAATCAGGCAACTGAAAAAGCTGGTCTGCTTCAGACTTTATCATAACCTAAACCCCACACCCCCAAAAGGAAAGGAAGGAATGGGGGAGAAAGGGTTATAGCAAACAGAGAAAATTGTGGTTATGGATTATAGGGTAGCAAAAACAATCAAATATTGCAAGCTATATTGACCACAACTAATGACAATTATATATCCAATATCGTAAACATTAATGTGACAATTTGCCCAAAAGAATTGCCATATCAGATAAATAAAACAGATCAATAGATAACCATCACAGAGCAGTGAGAACGATGTCCACCGCCAAATAACCCTAACCAGTTGAAAACTGGAGTGCCAATATGGGTGGGGGTGGAGGGTGGGGGGCATAAACATGCTTTTTTGGCTACTTTGAAAGACCAAACAGTTACGGATTAAGTCCCTTAACATTAATCATATGTTGCTTCATCTATTCTGAGTAACATACAAAGAAAAACTTCCTGACTTACCATATTACTAGTTGATTTGGTATTGAGGGTAGTTGATCATTGAATTGATTGATATGTCAACGATAATATTTGATATTTTCAAAATACAAAATTTTCAGGTCTAACATAACATAATCCAAGATATTTTTGTGTCACTCTGAGTTCTTGTGGAGACCGTAGATCTTATAGTATTGAAAATATTAAAAATCGAACTAAACCAAATTCATGACAAATAGAGAAGGTAATAGCTTTCTTAATTTCATATTGGTGTTTGTGTTTGAAAACAATTTTTTTATTTGTTTTTTGGGAGAATTGTTTTAAGTCTGAGTTTTGGAAATTAATGTATTTGGGATTCTTATAAGAAATATATACTTATGTGTGTGTTTCGATTTAGTTCTGGAAGAATTGGTTTTAAGGGGGAAAAAAGTGAACTAAGACATTAATTAAAAAAAAATTGAGGCAGAAAAGGATTGAACAAGTTTGCTGTTTTGCACCAAAAAACTAATGGATAGTTAACAAAGACAGGCCCACTTCTGACAGTGAGGCCAGAGCTGTCCAAATTGAAGTTTGTTTCAGAACCTTGAAAACCATTGTTGTCAAAAACAGATACAGTGGTAACAAACATACTAAGGTTCCATTTAAAAGAACTTATCAACACTAGAATGCTTCAAATTCTCAAACTAAAACAAAATTCAACTACCATACCCATCTAGAAAATAAACATGATAAAGTTAAAATTTATATAAGTTAGACTTCCACTAACATAAACAATCAAGACCAGGTTATAGCTCATTCCACTAATTATCTTAATCAGCAGAAAACCCCCAAAAAAAAGGAATATTTAAGTAATTTTTTCCAATAATTATATAAGAATAAAAAAGGCCTCTGAAATAACTGAAAGCCTGTTTCACTTTGGTGGGAATCACCTGATACTCCTTTAGCTGCCTTACACACTTAGGCTTGCAAGTTACTTCCAGTGTCGCCTTTGGGTCAACAACTTCCTCGTCCGACCTGAACAAACGAAACCATCAGCAATGTTTTTCCTTAGAGATGAAAATATAAGCAAGATCCCACACTTGGAAGGATAAATCTTGCATGTAAAAGTCAAAATATAAACCGGGACTAAAAGAGTGAAGCAGACTTCAAAAAGTTCTTACGCATACAAAAGTACAAAACAACTAGAGAAGTGGTATTAGGGAATTGTGGACTAGCCAAAATAGCATTCCGGCCTTTTTCATGTATCTCAACGAAACAAACCTAATAGACTCAGAGTTGCCACTAGTCATTAATTACTGCGGTCTAACTCCATGCTTGTAATATGAGCTTAATATTTGTATATCATTGAGATAATTATCGTCTGAGAATAACAATAAGATGCTTCTGACATAAATTAGTTATTACGAAAGTCAGCATGAAAATGTCTATCTGGCTACCATTCTTCAACAAATACAAGTTTATGCCTTATGAAGAGGGCCGACACAGGGCCGACACACTGATCACAAACATCCCATTGTGGTGCTTCTTTGGTTAATCTAAATGTAAGCTAAGTAAAAAAATGGACATCCTTAGTGTTTTTCGCCAGCTAGAGAACGTCAACAGACACACTGCATGAATAAAGAAGAATAGGGGAGATCAACAGCAAATGTTTGTGCACTGAAAAACACCAATCGAAGTTGAGCATTTGACCAAGCACCACTAGGACTTATTTAAAGTTTGAATAGGGAATGTACACTCAAGAACGTTGCTTCTCACTAAAACCCAATCTATAATACTACCCTCTACGGGCCAATAAATGGACAGGAGAATAGAGATAGTTTAAGCTTTACTTTTCCTCATTAAAAAATAGGATATAGCAGGCTAGCATGGTTGAAATATTTTAGCCCCATGACATTGAAGTTGGTTGTTGAAATTTGGAAAAGATTTGAGTTTAAATGTAACAGATAACACCAAGTTAGTTACGCGATGAAGCTGGGGCTTTATTCGTAGTTTAGATATACAGTCAACTAAATGTAACTGGTAATATTAGATTATGGTGAGTAAGCTAAGCTTCTAACTGTTAAAGGCTAAAGTGAAGCCCCAAAACTAGTAACCGAATAAAATATAACAGGATATGTTTGGTTCTAGGACACTCACTCCCACTCTCCACTAAAACCCTGTGAAGGTATTTCCGGCCAAGACACAGCGCTTCTCCAAGAGATACATAATTCATCATGTCTACTTAGAAACTATTAGGTCGCCAGTAAATGTGTTTTGTACAGGTGTGTTAAATTGATATTATTTGCATATCAGAAGACTAATATGATATTGTAGGTAATCAAACTATTGGTTTTTCTATACCAAATAAACAAAAGAAAATTGCGGGGAAATTATTTTACAACAGGATTATCAAATTTACTTCTCAACATAGGTTCCAATTAAAAAACCAACCTCAGATCGGGATAGTCAAACACTTGGCTCTTTTGTTAGGTTTAGGGCAAAAGACCAAATATGTTATCTTTTGATATACATTAAGGACCATATCTGTTAAGGGTAATACAGTAAGGACCAAGATAAAGCAGCCTCCATACATTAAGGACCATTTTGATCATTTCCTCCACATAAATCACATCAAAAGTAAACCTAAAATTAAATTACTAAAGAAGAGAGAATAGTTTCATTATCAATAGATCAACAGGACTCACATGGAAAATAGATATTTGGAGACGAAGACTTCGATACAGCAAATTCACCTGCAAATGCAACTTTTACACTAATCAATACAAAATTAGCCAGCTAATAAGTAGAAAAGGATACAAAATTGCTCAAATTTCTCCATACATAAAACCAAAATTTGCAGATCGGAAAAAACGCGAAAGAGGAAACAGATCAAATGCGAAGAACAGGAGCAAAGGCTAAACCTGAGTCTTGTAGAATCAATGATGAGCTGCGGATGGGAAAGAGGAGACAGAATAGGAAGTCTTAAAAGGGCTTTTATTGGGCTGTTATGCTAATTGGGCTTTTTTGGCGCGTATGTAGGCCAATTGGGGAATTACTAACAAAAAATTTAAAATTCTTTTTACTGAAATGTAACTAGAGAACATTTGTCAAGAAGACCTCCTCAACACTTCAATTGGTCAAGTGACCTCCCATTTTCTTTCTCAATTTCTTTTGGGTTGAAAAATGGTTAAATGAGTAAGTTAGGGTGAATGGGATCTTTTTAATATTTTAAAAACTTGTGGGTCACCTATAAGGTTTGAAAAACATTACCTCTCTCTCATTTTTTCGCCCAATTTCTCTCTCTACTCTCTCTTCTCTCTATCACTCAGCCCCATCTACCACGGTGGTTTCCGGCGGGAAGGGACAAGAATCAAGCTCCGATTTTGGGTGTAATCGTCTCTATAGACCCATCAGGCACTGTATTAAAGCTCAGAACGCGTCAACTTTGGTAAATCCTAAATTCTTCGTTTTTCGTTTTTTATATTTTAAATTTTGGGTTTTGTAGGTGATTCGTTCATGTGCATGTTCAAGACCGATTGGATTGTGTATAACCATATCCTATATGGCGTGGGTGATTATATTTGCTTCTTGGATGTGCGCTGTATTTTTGAATTTCGTCATAACTGGCGACCTAATGTTTATTGATAAACATATGGTCAATTATTTTCTGATCATAGATGGTTGTTGGAATTGGGGCTTATTTTTCTTATTCTGATCATAAGTTTGAAATTATTAAATATGACATTGCATATTTGCATGTAGGTAACATGAGGAGGAAATCAGCTGCTGAGAAGAATATTTCTCTGACAAAGAAGGCAATTGCACAGCCTTCAAACAGGAAAGAAAATGCAGAAAAAGAAACATCGCCAAGTAAAGCAATTGATGAGCCTTCAAAAATTGCTATTAGAAAACTAAATGTATATACTTCTAAAGCTTCCCCTAGAAAAGAAAATGCTGAGATTTCTAAGCGTGATAGGAGAAAAATTAACAAAGAGCCATCAAAGTCTATCGATAAAAAAAGAATAAGATCAAGGTCTAGATTAGTTGACGAGGACATACATGTTAGTAAAAAATCTGTTTCAAGGAGGTTAGCATTAGAGGGTGTTGATGAGGATGAGGAAGAAGACTTGGACATAAATGCATCACAAACGCAAATGGAAGAATAGGTTTCTAAAAAAATAATTGTCGAAGAAGAAAATGACATTGATGATGAAGCTTTAGGTGGGGAGGATGATGAAAATGGTGATGTTGCTGCTCAGGAGGTTGATAAAGATGTTGAAGAAGAAGAAGAAGAAGAAGAAGAAGAAGAAGAAGAAGAAGAAGAAGAAGAAGAAGATGATGATGATGATGATGAAGATTATGAAGATGATGAACAACTTGAAGATGGACTGAAAAGTGAAACACATGCAGCAGTTGAAGGTGACCAGGTTGCTCTGTCAATTCATGTATTTGTAAGGGCGATCGAAGCATCCAAATATAAATTCAGAACTTTTCCAAGAAATCATAGGCATTTCCTAGGCAAGATTAATGTGAGGTCTAGGATCAATGTATTCCATGAGTCCAAGGATAAACTTAGAATAATCAAATTGATGAAAAAGTTTAATAGTAGTTGTTTTGGACAGTTTGCAAAACTTTCAGAGCACTAGACACAGTTCAATGGATAACTTGTCCATTCCCTGCTGATTCGCCAAATTTATTACGCGAAGAAACGTGAGTTGTGGTTTTTAATTGGAGACAAGCCTGTTCACTTTGTATTGAAGGAGTTTGCTATGATTACTGGATTGAACTGTGGTGCCAAACCCAATAAAAAGTCTATGAAGAAAGTGATGGATAATGGCGAAACATTATGCGATAAAGTTTGCCAGTTTAGTAAGAAGGGGGTAGATGAAGAGCTGCTTTTGAAACAGTTGAAATCCAAGAGGTTTGACATGGTCGAGAGATTTAAGATTACATTGGCGTGGTTTGTCCATTCAGTCTTGCTTGCAAAGGATAACATAGCGCGCTTCGATAAGAAGTGGATTCGTATGACTAACAGTCTGGAAGTTTTCATGAAATATCCATGGGGCAAGGAGTGTTTTGAGACAATTGAGTACTTGAAGAAGAATATGTTGCCAATGTACAAATCATATGTGAGCAAGAGGAGGGAAAATAAAATCTCTGGTAAAAATTCCAAATCGTCTAGTTATGCCATGTACGACTTCCCATGAGCATTCATGGTAAGTATTAAAACTACCTTCTTAAAATTTCTTTGCAGTTGAGTACTATCTATTATTTTATTTACTTCAAATAGAAATTAATACTTTTTGGTTCATGAAAAAATGTAGGCATGGGCGTACGAAACAATTCCGTTATTTGATCGTAGTGTCGAGAAATCAAAGGTCGTACCATTGTCGCTGCCAAGGATGTTGAGAAGGCACAACAAGAAAGTGATATATGACCCTGATTGGGATCCCTTTAAGCAGAGAGTTAATGACCCTTGTATGGTAAGATAGAGAGTGCAATAACCCTTCACCAGTAGATTAGAATTAACCAAAGTAGGAGATTATCATAGACCATGTATCTATTGTTTTGTATTGCTTGTCTATTGACTTCTATCTATGCTATATTTTAGGAGGTGCACCCTTACCTTATTCCTACCCTACGTGAGATGGATATGGACTACATAAAGAATTTGGTACCACACGGCGATGAGGTAGAGATTCTATAATCGACCAGCTAGCGATTGATTTGGAATGGGTGACTGTCATTAAAAAGGCACTTGGTGCAGTGAGCTTAGGGGCTAATGATGAAGCTGACATTGATGATGATGACCCTTTAGGCGGGAGTATTCTTGGTTCACCACTAGTTGGTAGTTTTTCAGCCACCTTCATCTGCAGAACGATCTTTTCGCGCTTAAGAACGTCCTTTTCACACTTCAAAATACTGATAAGGTCATAAATCATTGGATCTAGCAGATCATCGTCCCATACCCAAAATTGACATCTTTTACCCTATCGAATCAAATGGGAAAATAATTTATTTGTAAAATTAAATTCCTAAAATTAAAAAGAGGTGAATCTATGGAATTTATCTTACCTTAATTTTGGAACATTTTGAGAAACGTCAACCAGCATTCACCGGAGTTGTAGCTGTAAATTGACCGGCAGCCTTGCCGCAGTGACAATTTTTTCTCGACCCAAATGATGCACTCGACCCTTGACTCATTTTTCTTCAATTGTTTGAGTAATGTTTTTCAGAAGTATAAATTGGATTGAAATATGATCAATTTTGTTTTGAGATGGCAGGTAAAATAGGTAATTTAAAATGGGTCAAATGGGTTAATTTGAACGGGATAAAAAAATATGGTTGAAATGTGATTAATTTTATTTTGATTACATGGCCAATCAAATGGGTAATTTTAAAAGGGTCAAATGGGTAATTTCAACTGGTCAAAAAAAGTATGGTTAGGGATAGGCCACGTGGACATATTTTAATTTAGCTGTATTCCATCAACCACTAGTCGCTGATAAACTTCTTTAATAGTCTATGAATCCTGAACCCTAACCCTAACCCTGAACCACAACCCTGGACATTCAGCATAAATCAATAGACTTCTTTAATGGGGCAAGTGTCAACTTGAGGTTTTGTCCCCAACTCTTATTGCGGTCGAGGGTAACTAATGGTCGAGAATTCACTAAAATAAGGATTACACCACGTTCGACCTTGGAATTTTTTATTTTTAAACGTTTAAACATCTTATTAAACATCATGGAACAATTAAAGTTATTATACATGGCAATGTATTTCATACCATTAAGAGTTGGTCATTCTAGAATATGTAATAACTCAAGAAGCAAGACCTCTAAGTATAAGAGTATTGTCTAGTGAAGTATTGTCAACAAGTAATGCCTCTAAGTATGAATATTGTATATTAAATATTGGGTTGTAATATCAACATGTGTTGATATTAAATAATGTTGTGATCGATTATAATAGGTAATTAGTCTTCAAATTGCATACATTGCCTTAACATTATGTTGTAATAATATTCATTGACTATGTAATGAAAGTTATTTTCACCAATTATAGGCTTAGGTTGATACCGATATAATTGATATGTTATAGTAATCCATTTTATCCAATTTAAAGTTTGCAATTTGTTGAATTAGATGTTTACAACTTTAAGTTATTCACAAAGAATTGTCATTTTTTGATTTAAGGTAACTAAATTAATACTTTACACTAACGAACAACTAATAATCGAGGAATTACCCATATGCACGTCCAATTTATGACTGATACGCTGTTATTAATTCTTCACTATGAAATTCTATTGATTATGTTTTACAATGGATTTATAGACCACCAATATGGTAGATGATATACTGTAGGTTTATTCAACAACTCTTGCGGAAAATTTAAATATTTGAAAGACTGAAATTTATATCCCCTGTGTTTTATATTTCTATTGGAACCTCTTTATTTCGTTTTGGGACCTTTTTTCTCTTAAGTGTTGTCAAATAGAAAAAAAAAAGCAAAAAAATAAAAAACAGGGCAACAAAATTTAAAAAATATGGCAGAAAATTAAATAGACAAAAACTTATGTTAAATATTTTTATTAAATAACTCCCGTCACGACAACATACATTTTTTCTCTATTAACTAAATAAAAAAAATAAACTGTATGGGGGGTGGGGAGGGGGGAAAGATCACGGGGAGGGAAATTTCTTGGGCTACCATAGTGGTGAATATTTGCATCAGCTCTACGAAGGAGAATCTGCAACTTACGTGTGATACGACAAATGTTCCTCCCTTGCCTCACATTGTCTTCTTAGATCTCTCGGATGAGCTTATTAGTGATTTCCTGATGAAAATGGCATCTGCTTGGCCTTGGCCTCGGAGGCATTTCTCTGTTAAGTGATTGGGCTATTTGGAAGAATGATGAATAAAT